GCAGAAGGCAGTCAAGTTTGCAAGAATGTTGGCTTAATCAGGCTTCCTTTGACAACTTTGTAGAAACTTGGAATCAGTTAGGGTTTAGATATTTATCATCACATGGGTTAGGACCCAACCTTTATTCAAAACTCAAACTTTCTAAATTGCTTTATACTTCTTATGAATCTAGACATTCTCTTGTGCTCATGTAATATTCTAGAGTTGATGTATGATAAAATGAACATAACATATTTTTCATATATCTTAATGTTAGATATGCATACAGAAAATTGCATAAAACACTTACAGGTGTTAAAGAGTAATTTTTCCTCGATCACCCATGTCAGAGCATGTTGCTCAATCACAACCCAATTCAGTTCTTTCTCTCCCCAAAGTCAGCATTCTTCTGATTCTGGTGATATTATTACTTGCTTTCTTTTAGACTTTTCATTTATTTGTGCCTGGCTTAAGGTATTGGTCAGTTTTCCATTATTGTAACAAATACCTGACACAATAAATTTAAAAAGAAGAAAGGTTTCTTGTGGCTTACAGTGTTAGAGGTTCCAGTCTGACTGATCCACTCCATTGCTTTTGGCTTGTGGCAGCACAGGACCTCATGTTTGAGTATATGGTGGAGAGGACCCATTCACCTCACTGCTGAACATGAGAAAGGAGAAGAAGAGGCTGTATTCCCACTACCCCTTTCAAGGGCACAGCCTCAATGACCTAAAACCTCTCACCAGGCCATGCCTCCTAAAGGACCCACTATCTTTGAATACTGCTGCCCTGCGGAACACGCTTTTCTCATGTGGGCTTTTAGGGGACACCCAAGATCCAAACTACAGTAGTTTGGATTGTTGGGTGGGGAAATGTGAGTATCATCAGCTTATTAGAAAATGTCAGGTGTTTTCCATACTGGTTGTACCGTTTATGCTCCTGCCATGAGCATGCAAGAGTCTCCATTTCTCTGCCTCTTCACCAACACTCGGTTTCATCAGACTTTAAACACACTCGGGACTTCACCACCTGCAGGTCAGCCAACCTTAGATTACAAGTGCTCAAAAACCTTTGTGTCTGTACTGAACATGAACAGACATTTTTCTTGTCATGATTCTCTAAACAATGCAATGTGACAACTGTTTGCATGGCATTTACATTGAATTAAGACAACTTAATGTGCAGGGGAGGATGTGCACCACACCATTTACATAAGAATTGGAGCACTTGTGGCTTTAGATACACTTGAGAGTCGTAGGACCAAGGATACACTTGAGGGTGTGGAGACCAGGGGACAGCTGTATTGCTGGCTACTGCTGAGAAAGAGCATGTTTTTGTGGGTTTATTATTTGGATGTCTTTGTAAAATAGTGCTTGTTGATGTTCTTTGCCTATTTTTAAGCATGGGCTCCACTTTCCACAGCTTTGTAAAAATTTTAAATTTATATTTTTATTAAATACTAGTTGATATGTGTGTTTCAAGTGCATTCCCCCACTGCATGGCTGGTCTTTTCTCTCTGTGGTATATTTTGATGAAAAAGAAGTTCTTATTTTTTAACGAAGCCACATTTACCAGGTTCCCCCCCACTCCCATTCTATGCAGTGTTTATTGTACCTTTCGTATCCTGAAACTGTAAAAATATTATGCCATATTATCTTAGGAAATATTCACAGCTTTGCTTTGTTTGACTCTTAACTGACTTATAGTAGTTTATTATGTGGTATAAAGTTGAGATCCGTTTTATGTTTTTTTGTAAGAATGGCCATTTTCTTCTACCAATAGTTACTGAAAGACCTTTGTGCAGCAAAGCTCTTCAGGATTACCTCTGCCATAATCAGGTGGCTATAGCTGGAGGAGTGGCTCAAGCCATAAGAACGCCTGCCTAGCAAGCTTGAGACCCTGAGTTCAAACCCCAGTGCTGCCAAAAAAAGAAAAAAAAATCTAATCAGCTGTAGATTCATGATGGATTTCTCTTTTAGTCAATACCACACTGTCTTAGTTATACCTTAACCGTTCTCGTCGAGTAGTAAGTTGTCTCAATCTATATTTTTGAGGGTTTCTTTACTCAATTGGTATTTTGTGTTTCCATGATTACATACACATTTTAGAATCCACTCCAGGTTCCAACAAAACAAAAGCCCCAAGACATTTTGAAGGATTGTACTGAACTGTAAATCAGTTTGGCACCTTACAAAGACTGAGTCTTATAAATAAAAAGTAGCCTACTCACTTGCTGTCTTCCTGTCTCTGCCTTTATTGGCAAACGATTTCAATCAAGTGATAATGTTTTCTCATTTCAGGACCTTAAGTATTTTTGTAGTTTTTTCCCCCAGATACTTTGTATTCTCAGGATACTTTATATTTTAAAGGTTACTTTTTAAGTTTTCTTTTTTTAAGTCACTTTGTTGCTAGTGTGAGATTTTGTGTATTTTTTGTTCATATCTAACAACTGTAGCAAACTCAAATTCTCTGATATTTTATCTCCTGAATCTTTTAGATTTCTCTAAATATACATTAGTGAATTCTAGTTTTCTTTCCCCTTTATATTCCTCATGGTGTGTGTGTGTGTGTGTGTGTGTGTGTGTGTGTGTGTGTGTGTGAACTACGTCTGCCAATAGCCCTTGGAGGAAATATGTCTCTATATATGTTTATAGCATGTATCCTGTGTTAAACTGAATCTGCTAGAGAAAGCATTTAAATGAGTAATATTTGCAGGTTTTTAAAAACTTATTGCTGAACTAACCTTTTCTTTCTGGTGTACAGTTGAGTTTTCACCTGTAACCAGATTCATGAGCCAGCACCATCATAGGATGGAGAATGGCTTCATCCTGCATGTTGTGGCTCTACAGTCAAACCTCCTCCGTCCCCACACTCTGCCACCACTGCTCTGATCTGCTTATTGCTCCTCTAGTTTTGTCTTTTCCAGATGCCATGTAACACCATGTAGATGGAATTAAACACTGGCTGCCTTCTTACACTGACTTTCTTCACTCTACCCAATGACTTTGAGATGTATCTGTGTTGATGCATCTGTTTCTTTTTACTGCTGAGTGGAGTAGTGTTCTATTCTAGAAACATATCACAGTTTTAAAAATATGTATTTGTCTATTGAATTAAGTATGTTTTCTGATGTTAAAACTTATTCTTCCTTGGAAATGCTACTTAACCCTCTGTGCATCAGTTTCTTCAGCTGCAGTTTTGGGATAAATCTTACATCATAGAGTTATTGTGGGGATGAAATGGGTTAGTGCATATGAAGTCAGCCTCCAAATCTGCAGATTCAATCAGCCACAGATCCCAAATATTTGAAGAAAAACTGCATCTATGGTGAACATCCTTTTTTCTTGTCCTCATTCCCTAAACTATAGAAGAACTATTCACATAATGTTTATGCCAATTCGGTATTGTACCCTGGAAATGATTTAAAGTATACAGGAGGATGTGTGTAGGTTATATGCATATGCTCAGCTGTTTTATGCAGGTGATTTGAGCATATGTGAGTCTTGGTATCCTTCAGGGGTGTCACAGTCAACGTAGCATGCACACTGAAGGCCAGCTACACTTAGAATAATGTCTACTACACAGTAAGTGATTACTATGCAAACTGTTATTAGTGTCTCCAATATTAACAAAGATTTTGAGATAGAAAGAACTTGACACATTCAAGAAATGGCAAGATGTGGGTGTGCTGAGGGTAACGAGCAGGGAGGAGGAGTGCTATGCAATGACACCATGACAGGGAGAGGCCCATTGTGAAGAGCTGCATGGCTGCAGCAAGCCATTTTGATTTCATTTCAAATGCAGTGGAGAGCCATTTTGATTTCATTTCAAATGCAGTGGAGAGCCAGGTTGAGACATGGTGCGGTTCACATCCTTAGTACTCAGGTTGATGTGAGGGGTAAGAGTACTGCAGTTGTGTAGGAGAAAGAGGGTGGTGGTGCAGATGAGTGTGGTGGCTGTGGGAGATGGTGACAAGTGGCTTCATCCAAGGTTGGATGCAGAACTCACAGAATTGCAATGGAGTCACAGCTCAGTGTGGCATAGTCCCTGCAGCTCACTAGAGTTCCCTTTCTACTTCTGAATTGAGCATGAACTGTCGTGCCTGATTTATGAAACCTACTTGGAGTAATAGCCGGTCTTTAGCACGCTTTTAAGTGAGGTCTGACTGCTTTCCTATTCACATAGCACTGGCCATTCTTGCAGAGAGTCAGCTCATCCTACAGAAGGAGGTAGACACAGCACACTGCCGTGTGGCTCTCTGAGCACAGACAGTTGATTCTGTGACCCCCATACTTAGCTGTTCTTCTGGAGATGAACTTGCCTTGGCTGCTTTGTGCTCAGTCAGTGGGATGGTAGGTTTAGTGGTTGGCTGGAGTTCCTGTGTACACTGGGGACTTATTTTTGGAATAAACATTATTAGACTCAGATGAAAATTGGACCAGAAATTGATTTTTGTCCTCCTTCCAGCCTCAATTCATCCTAGAATCTCTCTTCCAAATGACAAATCATCTTGGCTTTCTGAGGTGACCTCAAGACTAAAATAGGACCAGGGTGCTTATTTAACCTTGCATTCAAGTGGAGGTATTTAAAAAAAAAAAGAGTTAAAAATAGTTCTCTGACCTCACAAGAACGTCTTCTTTTTATTTCCTGCTTTTAACACAACTGTGTTTGTTCTTTGTGGGGCCTCAATGTCCAGCTCCTCCTTGAAGACAAACACCTGACCCAGCCTTTATCTGGAACACATTCATCATGATAGTTTTTTTTTTTTAACCCCATCCTCTCTGCTTAATTTGGGACTTTTCAAAATTCAGATTTTGTTAAAAGGAAAGAATCTCCCTTTTCTCCTGAGCTGTGTGTTGTGTCTGGTCCCAAAGTCTGACAGCTTTCATCCAGCAATGTCCATTTATGGCATCCACTTACTCATTAGTTGTAAGATAACCTCAGGGTCCAGGAGATGTTCACTTGAATTTTGTGCCTCATTTTGCGCTTCTTTGTAACTGGCTTCTTTTGTGATCTTACAGAATACCAAGCTGCTATTTTACACTTGAAGAGGGAACACAAAGAAGAAATCGAAAACCTGCAGGTATCTACCTCTTTGATTCTACTGACCTGGCTATCTGATATCTAGTTTTCTCATGTACTGAAGTAAATATTCCATCTGTGTTGAAGTATTTAACTAGATAACATCAGCACCTGCCAGTGGGCACCGAGCCTGTCCTCCAATGAAAGCCTGGGATACTGTGCTTAACAGCATTCAGTTCCTAATTTTGAAAAATGACTGTAAATCCCTTTGATTTGATCAGAAAAGGGATACTTTTGTTTTTAAAGCAGGAAAGAAGGCTGTATTCAGATTCTTACTGTGTACATGAAGAATTTGGAAGTTGTTTCTCCTGTGCACAGTGTAGGTCATTTTGAGGGACTGACTTGCACTCGGGTTCATATCTGTGTGTCTCAGCACATCCCCGTGGGGTGACTCATGCCAATGGCACTTGGGGAGGAGGCCCTAGTTGGGGGAAGAGCTGTGCTGGTGGACGGCAGCTCCATCCTGCCATGTGAAGCCCAGAATGGCTGAGGGTCACTTCCCTGCCCTCTGTCTGACCATCCTCTCCATGCTGGTGTTTGTTTTCACTGCTTGTGGCAGGAGGTTCAGATATTTTCTTTTCTTTCTTTCTTTTTTCTTTTCTTTTTTTTTTTTTTTTGTCAATTTTGGGCAGCATTGGGGGTATTTCCAGGTCCCAGGTCTTGCATTCAGGCAGGCTTTCTACCCCTTGAACTGCACCCTGAGCCCTTTTTGTCTTTACTTTTCAGATAGGGTCTCATACTTTTGTCCAGGGCTGGTCTCAGACCAGGATCCTCCATCTGCCTCTGTGTATCTCAGATTACAGGCATGTACTACCACATTTTGCTTATTTTTTCAGATAAGGTCTTATTAACTTTTTCCCTGGCTGACCTCAAACTGTGACCTCTTATCTCCACCTCCCAAGTAGCTGGGATTACAAGTGTGAGCTACCATGCCCTGCAGAGTTCAGAATCTTAACTTCAAGTAACAACATATTGAATCAGACTATGAGGTCTAGTTTATTGATGGCTTGGGTAATCCCATACATCAGGAAGGAATAATAACAAATTTTGAATAAAACTTCTTGCTCATTTAATGCTAACTCATTACTTGCTAATTTAATGAATTTGTGGGTCAAACATTCTTCTTTTCCTTTGTAATTTATTTTATTTACAAATAGAAATTATGTGTGTGTGTATGTAGTATACAACATTCTTTGAAATGTGTATACATTGTAGAGTGCCAAGTCAAGTTCAGTAACATATGTGTTGCCTCATGTACTTATTTATTTTTGTTAAAAAATACTTAAACTCCACTCAGCAATTTCAAGTGGATAATTCATTGTTATCAACTTCAGTCACCACAACAGATCTCTTGGACTTACTCCTCATGTTTAACTGAAATTTTATATCCTTTGATCAACACCTCCCTAGCCTACCACCCTCTAGCCCCTGGTAGCCACTCCTGGACTCTTTTTCTATGAGTTCAGCCTTCTTAGATCCGACAGATAAGTGAGATCATGCATACCATTGATGACTTCCAGGTTTGTCTGTATTGTTACAAATGACAGAATTTCCTCCTTTTAGGCTGAATAGTATTCCACGGTGTGTGGGTGCACATTTTCTTTCCATCCATTGATGAACACATGGGTCATTCTGTTTCTTGGTTTTTGTGAATAGTGCTGTCATGAACACAGGAGAGCAGACATCTCTCCAACATACTGATATCCCTTGGACATATGCCTATTGTGGGATTGCCGTACGTAGTTCTGTTTTTAACAATGGCTTTGCTAGTTTACATTCCCATCAAAAGTGTTGAACAGTTCTCTTTTCTCCACATCCTTGTCACCACTTGTTGTTGTCTTGTACCTTTTCTGGTAATAGCCATTATGACAAGTGTGAAGCAATTTCCCATCCTGGTTTTCCTTGCATTTCCCTGATGGTTAGTGAGGCCAGTTAGTTTATCTGATGGCCATTTGTACATGCTCTTTTGAAAAACATCTGTTGGTTTCTTTGCTCATTTTAAAATCAGATTGTTTGCTTTCTTGCTGTTAAGTTAGCTGAGCTTCTTATAGGTTTGGTGTGTTAACCGCTTATTAGATGTATGGAAATACTCTTTTCAATAAATAATAATGTGCTTTAAAATATCTGAGGTAGCATATTGGATTATATATAGTCACTAGAGGTGGCAAAAAATTGTTAAGAGAAGTAGCATTGTATATGAGTTCATGAAAGACCCCGTCAGGCAGATTTAAACACAAGGTTTGAAAGGGGGAGTGAGCCAATTTCACAAAGAGACAAAAACGTGGAAAGGTACCTCTGTCTCTTAGAGAGGTGGAGGGAGGCCCTTATCTCTTTACTGTGAATGCCCTACAGCAACTCTTTCTTGTTCTTTGTTCTGGAGTGAAAAAGATTCTCAGCTGTGTCTGAGGATTTGAAGTTGATGGGCGGTAATTTAAGAAATAGTAACTTTTAAGAGGCAGGTGCAGCATTGATTCTGCAACCAGTTTTCTCCATATTGAGCTGAGCCCTGTGAGGGCTGGAGCAGCTAAATGATGTCTGTGTGATAGTAAATGGTGACAGTCTTTGAGTTCTGACCTGTGGTAGGCACTGTCCCAGGCATGTTGTGTCATCTCTGCAGAATCCTGAGGTCTTATCTCTCACACCAAGAAGAGGTTGGTGTGCTAATCAGATTTCCGTCATTGTTACAAATACCCAAGATGACAGACTTGAAGAGGAAGAAGGATTTATTTTGGATCACAGTTTCAGAGGTTTCAGTTCATGGTCACTTGGCCCAGTTGCTTTGGGTCTGTGGTCGCCTAGTCCATCATGGTGGGAGCATGGGACAGTGAAGTCCTTGTTCACTTCATGGTGTCCATAAATAAGAAACAGGATGGGGCAGCTTCCCAATATCCCCTTCAAGGACTCGTCCCCATGCCCTAATTTCCTTCCACTAGGTACCACCTCTTAAAGGTCCCATCACCTCTCAATAGTGTCATAGGCCAGACCAACTTTCAACACACAGGCATTTAGGGGACATCGAACGTCCAGACTATGACAGTAAAGACCAGAGTGTATGGGGCCAGGCATGATAGCATAAATTGTAATCTCAGCTACTTGGGAGGTGACAGGTAGAGATTGGGAAGAATCCTGGTTCTAGGCCAGCCTAGGCAAAAATGTGATATCCTACCTGAAAAATAACCAAAGCCAAAAGGGCTAGGAGTATGGCTCAAGTGGTAGAGTGCTTCCCTACTGAGTTCAAACCCCAGTATCTCCAAAAAAAAAAAAAAACAAAAAAAGAGAGAAAGTAAATGTGATTATGATCTCCTTAAGAGATGAGTTAGACTAAGGTATGATTTGCAGTAGTAACAGTTCCTGGTTGTACTTTAGATTTTTATGGTTAATTTCTCACAGCATTATCCATTCTTTTGATGCTATTAGTAAAAAAAAACTAAGTTTTACTAACACTTGTCCCATGTTTATGGTTTATATCTAATTGCTAATGCCCTGTGACTGTGGCACAGTGCTACCACCCAGGCAGTGTGTGTACATACACGCACACACATATGTATACGCATATTTGAAACTACTCCCCTAGTCACAGGCAGACAACCCTGGCCTGACCTGTCAAAGCACTGTGTTTCACAAATACAGCATTTTAAAGATTGAACTCAGAATACAGATCCTTAAATGTGAAGGTTTTTACATAATACGTGGATTTCTAGCAGAGTCTAAGAAATAGGAAAATCTGACAGTAGTTTTTCCTGCATGACTTCAACCTGCTCGGGGTGGCAGCAGGCATCCAGTTCAACTTGGACAATAATGTCCAGCTTGACACTGTCTGCTCTGGACCAGGTCCCCTGTGTGGCTCCTCTAGACTTTCATTTCTTTGTGTGTGATGTCCATCGGCAACCTTCACTGCTTGTTAGATTTCCTTCCTCCGTTGACAGGTCAAGGAGAAGTCGTGTGTTTTTCAGGAGTCCTTCATGCCTTTCTAGATAAGTATTTCACACTTGAGGTGTATGGGAAAAGTGAGTAATCCTGTTATCACATACAAAAATGGCTGTGTGACATGTTTATTTGGGGGGAATATTTTCATAGAATTTAAAGAAACGGTGTGTTTAGTTAATAGAGCACTAAGTTTAGCTGCCTATTCTGTTTTTTGACATAGATTTGTAGAGAAGCCGCTTCATCATTCCTTTCTCCCACCAGCAAAAAGGAAATCCTTACTACCTGAAATATTTCGATTGTTGACTTTTTTTAGCCCATGGTTTGAAGACCAATGAGTGGGAGAGTTTGGGGTTTATATCCCTATGCACACCGTGCCTTGCAACCAATGTTTGTTGAGTGTAGCAGTATAGAGAGGACACGGGATCCCAGGACTGGCTTTTCACAATTTGCAAACATATTCCCATTATAGTTCAAAAGGAAAGATTTATTATGACCTATGTGAATCAGTTCCAGGCACCTTGTGCTTATATACCTCTCTGCAAATAGAGAATTTGATGGACTTTTCCAGTCTCCAGTGGGGCAGTGATTAAGTGCTTTCCATGACATTAATATTTCACATCTAATGTAACCATAGCAGAGTTTATTCATGTTTTTCAAGGGTGCTCTTCATTTAGCAAACTTTGCCCTGAAAGTTTATGGTTACTTCATGATTCTCAGGATTGTCTGATTTGTTTTACAATTTTTTGATAGTTCTGGATTTCTAACAGTTTTGCACCTTACCCCTAACAGTTCTTTACAATTTCTTAGGTGAGAAGCTTTTGTTATAAGGTAGCCATGGCATAGCAAATTCATGATTATTGGGTAGAAACAGTCTATAACTTTTATGGCATATGATAAAACATTCTCCTACTGTATCAATAGTTATTTATTTGAGGTTGCTTAGTAGCTAGGATTTGAAAATCACTATCACAGGCTTTCTAGAGCTGATTTCTTCCCTTATTGTAGTTTAGTATTAGATGTGATTTTATTATTATTTATTACTGGGATTTGAACTCAGGGCCTTATGGCTCTACT